GATACTTATCCACCAACAGCTATAGCTGTGGTTGTCCTGGGTGCTCTGCCACCACTGCCAACTTCTGATTCCTTTAGTTGCATCACAGTCTTTTGAGACTCTAAGGGATAATGGGGCCATCCAAATTTTCCCTCTGTCTCCTTTGCTCTGGGTCTAAGACCTAGAAAGCCTCACTCTGCAAGGTCTCTTTCTGTCTCTTCAGGTGGAGGGGCACCCACGCCTCACTCTTAGGCAATCCAAACTGTGACTGAGCCATGGAAGATGCTTTCTGAAGGCCTCCTACAGGCTGTCTTCAGACTCGTGCAAATGATACCACGACATTTTCAGTAGATCAAAGGATTGCTTAATGTTGGAACTGGTTCAATGATGAGCGGTGCTTTGCAAGAGTCTTGGTGAGCCTGAAGGCAGCCAAGAGCCAGGGAAAAGAAACTGTCTTCCCAGGAGAAGAGAAAGAGGGGGAGAGAAGAGAGGATACATTTTTCTTTAGTGTGTCTTGTCCCTGCAGGCAGCAGCGATGACCCTGGGTGCGTTCCCTATGGGGCCTGTTCTTGCTGCTCAGACTGAAGAAGGGAGGCTGTGGGGACTTTTTTACAGAGCAGTCTTTCAGAGTCCCTGTCCTGAACCAGTAGGCCAGGCTGGACTGGTATTATAGGCTGGTGTCATAGGCATACCCCAAGACACTGATACAAATGTTTATAAATCAAAACTGCTTCCTCTTGACTTATTCACTGCTCAGTCTCTGATGACTTTTGGATTTCTGCCCATGCCTTATCTCAGTCCCTTCGCCATGCCTTTGTGCAGTCTATTGTTTTTCCTAGGAGCAGCACTGTCCGTCTGTTCTTCTTTAAAGTAATTCAGCCTTCTGCCCTCTGTCTCTCTCTTCAAGTGCTCTTGCTAACCCTTGATCACGCTGAGCGTATACAGGATTGACATTTGGTAATAGCGGGTGAGTCTTGTTTGTCATTCCAGGGGCTTCATTCTGGAAGTGTCGGGTTAGTGCACTCATAGTCCTAGGATGAGTACAACTTACAGGCAAGTAGGGAGCAATATCGTAAGGCAGACATCTGGAAGAGTGGAATGTATTGTGCCAGTGTTACATAGTGTGTGCAGCCTCGGTCTCCATGGGTAAGAGTGGTTATGTAAATGTCCTTTCAAGTGTCGCCATCTTAATGCAGCTGCCTGCCAGATGTAGGGCACTTCCACATCAGTGCCTGAATGGATGTCTGAAGTGTGCTTTCAAAGTGAATCTTCCAGTAATCCCCAAAGCTTGCTGGGCTTTGGTTTGTACCGCACAACAGTCTCGGTGTGCAAACTAGATTCCTTTCAGGTGGCGCTAAGCTAGTAGGTGTGCTGTACATAGGAGCACACCTCATGCATTTCAACCGCTAATTGGTGTGCAGTCCATGGAACCAGGGAAGACATAATCCAAAGTAAAGCTCCCCAAACATGTTTGGGGTGGATGTTGGATTTCCAGCCCCAAATCTATCACTTTAAAGATTTGCTCCTGTTGAGCCATACGACTTGCTAGCACAGAACTGGCTGTAGATGTCAAAGCTGTAAGGAGAGCAGTCAAGAAGACTTACTGTCAAAAAACAGTGTCTAAAACAGCACCAGACATCAGTTTTTGGATAGATGAACTGCATCTGGGAAGTTTGGAGAGGACCCTGCAGAGGAGCATATTCCTTTGGAAAAGGAGAAGATGGGATTTGATTCTGAAAACAATTTATTTCTAGCACCCTAAACAATTTATTTCTAGCACCCTAGTGTCACAGGAGGCAGTACACATCATGCAAACCCCTCTTTGTGCTTTTCCCATCCTTCTAGAGGCTATACACGAATGGCTCTGATTTTCCAGGCAGTTTGCTCTTCCTTTGGAATCACACATGTAGAAGCATGAAAACTGTAAAGGGGTTGACATTTCTATGGCTTATCTGAAGCCATCACATACTTTTCAGCTAAATGCAGGCACTTCTAACCTGTTACCGCCAGCTGCAACATTTTAGTGATCCCAAAGCAGATAATAAAATAGCAGCCCGTCAGCCAGATGAGCGTGTGCTATTCGCAAATACTACGAGAACCTCCTGTTCTCCACATGCCTTTACGACGACTCTCCGCTCAGGCCAGAGGCCTGTAGCCCGCTGTAGGGTGGGCTGCAGTTGGTTAGTGCAAAAATCGCTTATCCCTGTCTGCAGTTCAACCGAGATGAGCGGTGAACAGGACACCAACACCGCGGCAGAACTGCTGCTCTAAATCTAGGCAACGTATTTATTGACTCTGTGACATAGTTTTAATGATTATAACATTATGCATATTTGTGCCGTCTATGTACACACCATACACACACCGCTCCGCGCCAGCGGCGGGCAGCAGGGACTGGCAAAACGCCGGCCGGCATGCCCGTCCTCTCCGCCACCGGTGCTGGGCCAACCGCGGGAGCGCCGGGCTCGGGAAGCGGCCCGGGAGCTG